ACAATATATAAATCCTAGTTAAAATATTACAAAAGACTTCCACCGCATTTGCCACACGTCTCTTGGTTAACCAACAGAACTTTGCATTTATTTATTATTGCATGTCTGTCCCACTTTTTTATCCAAGGAGTTCTCCATCTCATTTAATCCTCACAACAACCCTGTGAGGTAGGTTTTAGCTGACCGGTGCAAGGTCACCCAGCATGCTTCGTGGCTGAATGGGGATTTGAACCCTGGTCTCTTTCTCCCAAACCCTGCCGCTCTAACCAGTATGCCACACAGTAGTTTTAAAAATACTGTTCTGGCTCTCATCTGTCGGCCTCGGCTCTCCTTATCTCTAAAGTGAGAACAACATCGATCCAGTTCACAAAGTTCTCATGAAGGTAAACAAAAGACTTTTAAAAAAAAACAGTATAAGGCGGGTTTGCCTGTTTTAAGTCATGCACAAAAAAAGGCTGACATTTGCTCAATGTGCAAAGAAGCGTTTTGTCCGCACAGCACGTTCTTAATTTATGGAATGTGTTGCCGGAACATGTGGTGGTAGATACTGGCTTAGCTGGCTTTAAAATCAAAATAAAAGGATTAGAAAACCAGAAAACCAGCGAAGGGCTCCGTCTGCTATTGTCTATTAGCCGGCAAAGACTGGAACCTCCAAGTGCAGGGGGAATATATCTCGGATTACCTAATGGCAGGGAGAGACAGCAAGGGAATGTATTTGCCTTCTTGCCTTGCTTGTGAGCTTCCCACAGAAGCACCTGGCTGGCAACTATAGAATTAGGATTTGCTGGTTTAGATGAACCTTGGGTCTGATCGAACACTTTTTCTTACTATTTTAATTTTTTTATTGCATTTATATCCCGCTGCCTTCTCCAAGGAGCTCAAAGTGGCCTCCATGGTTTTTTTCCCTTCGCCCCAGACTGCATGACCAGTGGCTGAGGTTCATGGGAGTTGTAGTCCAACAGCACCAGGCGTGCCACAGGTTTCTCCTCATCCCTGCGCTATGTGTAATGATAATAGTGTGGCATTGGTGTTAATGAGACTATCATAATTTCACAAAATTTTATGCTTTCGGAAACAGAGGTTTTTATGGGCAGCTGTAGCTCTGACTGTTTTTGGGGGCTGCTAAATTCTTAGCGAGATATTTCTTTTTAAAGAGCGGATAATCTTCTCCAGCACTTGAAATTTGCCAGGTGAATTTCGCACTTGGCTACTGGCCTGGGCACCATCGGCGCCTGACGTCTTCACCATCTGGAGATTCCTGCATGGGGATCCTTGAATCCGGACTGTTTTCACACACTAATACCCCATCCTGTAGAATTCTATCCATTATATTTTCTCTGCACAATATTGTATTGAAAAATACGACTTTTGAGCCATCTGGTCCAAAAATGGCAACTAGACATTTTGGTGACTGTAACTCTGGTTTAAGGAGCCATTTGACGCCTAGTTTATACATCTCTGAGTTTCTAACTCTGATCTTATATCCCCACCTGAGCCCATCTTCTCAGCAGCCTTTTTGGAATAATAAATACAATTCTATAATTGGTTATTATTCCTGGGTGAACTGTATAATCAAAATGTTGTAGCAGTCTCGAAACAAGCATTTGGGTTGTTTCTTTATTAGTGAATGTAAAATTTCAATTAAAAAATGACGTGAACACACAAAAGAGAGTTGTCTTTGCCAACAGTTTCCTTCTTGAGAATTACAAGCGTGTCTGGCCTTCACAGAGGTGTCAGGGCTGTCACCATCTGAGGCCTTTCTCTGTGTTCCTACTCCAAGGGAGGTCCAGAGGGTGGCAGAACCAAAGTGGGCCTTTTTAGTGGTGGCTCCCCACTTGTGGAATGCTCGCCCTGGGGAGGCTCGCCTGGTGCCGTCTTTACATATCTTTTTCGCCAGGTTTTTGGCTTCTAATCACTTGCAACCTCCTTGAGCTGGCAGGATGTCTTAAACCCACCTTCTGAAACCAGGACTGCCGTTTGGATTTTGTCTTTGTTTTCTTTTACGCTGGTTTCAATGTGCGCATTTGTATAATGTCAGTCACATTAACTTGATTTTTTGGGGGGAAAGAGGCATCCAATAGATTTGATGCAGAAAACAAAACATTGCATCTCGCTCCACCGACGGGGCGGATTTGGGGGTGGTAATGAATTAATGTGGACAAAATGGCAGCCCCAACCTGGGCCCTGTTAGCTTTGGGGGCCCAAGCCCAAAGGAACGGCTGCTTCCCTCTGCCAGCCACACACGCCATGCACCCGCCACATGGCACGTGCGTCGGGCCGTCTCGCTTGCCATTTCAATAGGTAGCCAGGAGGCCCCAAGACAATGGCGACAGCTGCCTGGCTTTAGGAGAAGAAAGAGGAGGAGGATAGACCATCCCCCTTCTCCTGTTCATGTTTCATTCCTGCTGGCTCAGCAAATGGGACTCTTCCCCGCTCCCCCTTTGCTTGCGTGAAGCAGCTGTCTTAACTGTTGTGGGGTGGGGAGGGGGAAAACTCCATAGGCATGTTGCAACTTTTACCCCTCCAACGCCCCACGGAGATCAATAAATCTTGGAATCCGGCCCAGGTGCAGTCTGGAGGGACAGGCAGGGTGGGTTAGGAGATAAGCCGCAGCATGTTTGCTTCCTCTTGGCTTTCTGCACCGGTTAATACCTTGGGTTTTGGAGTCAGGCCTTGCTGTCAGCCTGCCTTAGGAACCTAAGATTTGGAAGGGACCCCCCCCCCAAGGGGGCATCTGGTCCGATTCCCTGCAGTGCAGGAGTTGCAGATGAAGAATTCCTGACAGGTGGCCATCCAAATGTGCACACTGTAAATAAAACGCCTTAAGGGTTTACAGAGAACTGTGTAGGGTGCCAGCCAGCTGGCCATGCCCTGTTTCAGGATACTCCATTCCATTGTTCGCCCTGCCCAGGTCCACCCAGTGAGCTTTGTTGCTGAGTGGGGACTCTGTGTCCAGCTGAGCATTCTCAGCTGCCGTTTGAGCTACTTTGGGGTTCCCCCCTTCCCCTAGGGGGGGCTTTTTTATCTAAAGATTTGTTTGTACTTCTAAAAACCTTGGGGTTTCCCCAAGCCTGCTGCTATCTGTCTCCCCCCCCCCTTTTTTTTTTTGCAAAATTCACACTTTTTTGACTACGTAAGCATTAGCGGATAGCAAATGAGTTTACTCTAAGTATAGGGTTCAGTCCCTGCCATAGATGGGCCCATAGTCTGATTTGCTGTAGGACAACTTCTTATACAGGTGGCAGCCATTTTGTGTGCGGGTTCCGTACCTGGCCCCTGAACGTGTTAGCGGCGCGCGCATAAGCCCACCATGTTCTGCCCCTGTTCTGCCCTCCTCCAGATCCAAAACAACCCATTTGTCGGCAGTCGCGCGTCAATCGGACACGCACAAAATGGTTGCCGCCTATATTCCTATGAGACCGCTTTAAACAGTCATGGCTTCTCCCCAAAGAATCCTGGGAACTGGAGCTGGTTGAGAGTGCTGAGAGTTGTTAAAAGCCCCCCAATTCTCCTCACTGAGCTCTGATTTGATCCTGCGAAGACTGTGAGAGGAACAGGGGCTTCCTACCAACTCTCAGCACCCTTAACAAACAGCACTTCCCAGAATTATTTGGGGGAAGCCATGATTCTCTCAAGCCATAGCAGAGAGGGTGACTGGCGAGGAAGATTGGCCTCTATTATTGCAGGCCTGCTGTCGTGTGGTGGTGGGGGGAGACGTTCCAGCGTGGGGCTTAGCGAGGGGCCCCCGAAAAGCCTGAGGGTGGTTAGCTGGCTTTTGCAAAATGGGATTAGACAAATCCAATGAAGGGACACATCTGTCAGTCGCAAGATAAAAGCATCAGAAACCTCTGTGTACAGAGCGTGGGGCTCCTTCCTTCTATTTCCGCTCTCTGGGAGAAGAGTTCCATTCCTTCCGTAGCGAAAAATTACCACCGCACAAAAGAGAAGGATCAACCTTGAGGTTTACAAATGCTTAAAAATATTGAAGGGAGAGACCCTTAAATGTGGGGGGAACAGGCAAAGATAGACCCTCGAGGGCTTGAAACCCAGGTGGACAGGAGGATGGAATGGCTGAAGGAAGTGGTGCGAAGAATGAGGTTCCGTTGTGCATTTTTCATAGTTATCTGGATAGGTAGTTATCCTGGATAGGTAGTGTTATGTACTGAAGTTCTCACCCTGGGCCAGCAGGGGGATACTGTAGATAGTTATGCAAATGAAGGATCGAAAGTGACATTCAGTGATTGGATAGTTTTAGAAAGTTGCTACAGTTATGTTGTTCTGGAGCTCTATATAAGCAGGCTGACTGAGCTCTTCAGTTCAGTTCTGTTCCAGCTTACAAATAAAGAGCTGCTTTGGAAGAATCGCTGTGTCGTCTGATATGTTCACCCACAACTTAACAGGTAGGTATCCTGGCTCACACCTGCAGACAGAAGCGGGTGCTGCTCATAGACATCGGTGGAGAAATCCAAAAGCCCAGTGTGGCCTAGTGGTTAGAGTGTCGGACTAGGATTTTGGAGAGAGACCAGAGTTCGAATCCCCACTCAGCCATGAAGCTCACTGGGTGACCTTGGGCCAGGGCCTAACCCGACCTCACAGGAGAAAATGTGGAGGATTGTACCGCCGACCTTCTGATGGCAAGCCCAAGAGGCTCAGTGGTTTAGACCACAGCGCCACCCGTGTCCCTCACATATCTGGGTGGGCCTGCCTAAATTAAAAAAATACAGTACAACAAAGATGTCTGCCTAATTTCAATGGGCAGGGAGTTCCAGGTTGCAGGTTCTGCCATGCTGGAAGATTGATACCTTATGAGTGTGGAATGGAGATCATGTGGCACTTGCGAAAGAGCCAGCTGCGCAAATTGAAGTGGTCAAGTGGGCATGTATGATAATAGCAAAACTTTGAGTTTGGCCTGATAAAAAAATCAGCAGCCGTTTCCTTTTTCCTCTGCTGTTCTGTCTCACAAAACCCTTGCTTGTTCCCCCCCCCCCTGCAAAAAACAGGCGGACCAAAGCAGCCTGGGCGATAACCGACTGCCCACCACCACTAAGCTGGACCGGAGCAAATCTGAGGACCTGCTGGGGACCCCAAAGGAGCCTCGCACCTACAGCTCATCAGAGAACATTGAGGCAGACCCTGGGGTGCTCCATGCTCACATGGGGGACGGATCAGAGAAGGGCTGCCTTGGCTTGCGGATGGTCAGCGAGCAACTCCTTTCCTCCAAGAAAGCTGGAGTCAATGGGGGAGAGACCCAAGAAATCTTGGAGGCAGACTCCAGGCCCAGCTCAGGTATGTCTGCTCCAGGTTCAGCGGGGAGGAATCTACCTGCCTGGTGGATTGTTTGATTTATTTGTATTGTAAATTTAACAGAAAAAAAGAAAGAAAATGCAGGCAGCTGGCTCATATCAGCAATAAGAATTGTCCATCAGTTCTGATTTAAATGTTTATATTAATATAGGCAGTTCACGTGTCCAAATAGATATCCAAACAAGACTGACGAATGCAATATATATGTTCAAATGTAGAAGGGTAGTTGATTAGAGCATGGTGCTTATAATAATCTATGAACCTTTTAGTCTTGAGGTATAAAGGTTATATTTAGTAGGCCCATTGAATTTAATGAACATGTTAATCATGTCTGTTAACTTCTGTAGTTCTGCTCTGAGTGGAAATAGTATTTGGACACAACCCTAAGTCTCTGCAACCAGAAGGGTTTGCAGGGTCCACTTCCATTGTCCATCTGTTAAGTCCTTGCACCCGAGCAATGGAATGGAAAAGTAGGTGAATGTCTGAAAATATTAAGGATTTTTCCGAAACAAAGCTAATGCAAACAAAAGAAGAAACCCTCCACTAGACACAGCCACAACATGCACCTCAAAGATTCATTTATGAGCATTGCATCCCTATATCTCCACATATACTTCGCTTCCTGGTCTCACAGGTCGCAATCCCTACGACACACTGGTCCTTCTCCCAGAAAACATCTGATCCCTTTTCTTTAAATCCAATTAAACTTCCGTCCAGAGTGCTGCACTATCTAATTTTTATTGAAAATGTAAAAGACAAGGCTGCAAACAATAAATAACAAACACATAAGAGAAAAGCCCAGAATTGCAGCAAAGGTAAGTAAAAATAAATAAAATATGGAACAATAATCAGGGGTTAGTCTGATTTATTCTGCCTCTCTTCCCAAGTTTCATAGTGTGCAGCATAGAGTTCCCAAGATACCAGTCACTGATCTTGAGTGTCAAAACTTTTAGCTATTAAGAGATCCATAAATGTGTATTTCTGGCTGGCGTATTTGAGCCATCTGCTCCCACATGTATATATTTAATAACATCAAACTAGACTGGATAAACTGTGGCTTTTCTTGATTTCCCTCTGTGTAAACAAGACTTTTAATTTTTGCTTTTTTGACGTGGCCACATTTTTGCCACCTCAAATTTCCACCACGGCCAGAGCACTGCATCTTCCTTCTCTGTGTTTTCCAGGGTTTTACGAGACGAGTGAGATGGGCTCCCTGTCTGATTCCTGCGCCTCCGTCCACAGCGATGGGCCTGGGGGTTCCCGCTGCAGCATTGGCTCCCTCTCCCACTTGCCAGGCCTGCGGGAGGCCACCTTCTCCCGCCCGCGCTCTACCGACGAGGCTGCTGTCCGCCTCCTAGACCTCCAGCTGCAGCGTCTCACCTTGGCAAACACCTCTGGCGCGGACGGCAGGAGGCCTGTGTCGACAGGTGAGATGCGCTTGCATGAACAGGGACTCTCAGGCTTTGCAGATCGGCTGTGTGCTTGAGCCTCTCTCCTCTGCTCCAACCAAAAGAGGAGTTAAAAGGGAGGAATGTGGGAGAGTACAACAAAGAACACAGACTGGGCTGCACATGTCTGGGGCAAGAGTGTAGCTCAGTTGTAGGGCACCTGTTTTGCATGTGGAAGGTCCCAGATTCAATCCCTGGCATCTCCAGGTAGGGCTAGAATAAACTGAGACCACGTTTACACTGTACAGATAGAGCAATTTGATACACAGTCCTTTGGGGGAATAGCTTGGCTTTCCCCAAAAGAATTCTGGGAGCTGAAGTTTGTGAAGGGTGTAGAGAGTTGTTAGGAGGCCCCTGTTCCCCACACAGAGCTCCCTTGGAAGATTGTTAAACCATTCTGGGGATTGTGGCTCTGTGAAGGGAATAGGGATGCGGGTGGCGCTGTGGGTTAAACCACAGACTTGCTGATCAGAAGGTCGGCGGTTCGAATCCCCGCGATGGGGTGAGCTCCCGTTGCTCGGTCCCTGCTCCTGCCAACCTAGCAGTTCGAAAGCACGTCAAAGTACAAGTAGATAAATAGGTACCACTCCGGCGGGAAGGTAAATGGCATTTCCATGCGCTGCTCTGGTTCGCCAGAAGCGGCTTAGTCATGCTGGCCACATGATCCGGAAGCTGTACGCCGGCTCCCTCAGCCAATAAAGTGAGATGAGCGCCGCAACCCCAGAGTCGGCCACGACTGGACCTAATGGTCAGGGGTCCCTTTACCTTAAGAACTCTTAAAAAAAAAAAACACCTCCTAGGAACTCATGACTGTTAAAGTGGTACAATGGTGCTTAAAGTGTATGGTGTGGATGTTGTCCATAAGACAGCTTTCCTATGACCCCCAGTTCCATGAGGTGATCCTGACTTCTATGTTCAGCTTCCTGAGAACCTTCTTCCTTCCTTTCAGTTTGAACTGATAAACAGGAAGTTTTTCTCTTTATTATTATTTCCTTTTTGAAGCATCCTTACCCTTAGTGGTTTATGAAGATCAGTAATAAGGCAGACCCTGTTCTCAGTCTTATAATAACTGAAAAGACATGACACACAAGGAAAAAGGGGAGGAGGAAAAAAAGCAAACTCAACTCAGGTGTTATGTTTTAGTTATGAGATGGCACCCGTCCCCCAGGGCAACTGGACTCTGCTGCCATGGGTTGCAGAAACAGATTTGTGCCACCCCAAAATATCATCTTCTAAATTTGTTTTACTCCATCAGCACCAGCCAGCAATTCAGATGTTGCTGAATGACTACAGATTCCCCATCCCTGTTTTATGCCCATGTGAGTTCAAGGAATGATTGAACATGGGCAATACCCAATACTAAGGTACCCCTGCCCGTACGGGCCAGTCTTGCCAGACTCTAGGGTTGTGCGCTCATCTCACTCTATAGGCCGGGAGCCAGCGCTGTCCGCAGACACTTCCGGGTCACGTGGCCAGCGTGACAAGCTGCATCTGGCGAGCCAGCGCAGCACACGGAACGCCGTTTACCTTCCCGCTAGTAAGCGGTCCCTATTTATCTACTTGCACCCAGAGGTACTTTCGAACTGTTAGGTTGGCAGGCGCTGGGACCGAACGACGGGAACGCACCCCGCTGCAGGGATTCGAACCGCCGACCTTTCGATCGGCAAGTCCTAGGCGCTGAGGCTTTAACTCACAGCGCCACCCGCGTCCCATACCCAATACTAGGTCTTCTGAAAATAGACCCATTGAAATTGATAGGTATGACTATGCTAAGAACATTAATAGCAATGGGTCTGCAGTGAGTCTAACTTAGGTGGCTACAACCAGGTAGCTTCTGCCTGCCTTGAATCCCTGTTAAAGAGACAGTCCATCTGCTACCTTGCCCCGCCTACAGTCGTTGGTTCCTGTTACCCATAAGTCTCTTGTGTTCCCTTGCTGCAGGTGACCTTGAATTCCTCTTGGGCCTTGGAGACTTGTCCCTCCCACTCCCAAAGAACCCAAGTCTCCAGCTGCTGCAGTACAAGTCGGACCTTGTCTCCCGGAACACCAACGAGATCTACCACTACCCGAGCCCCTTGCATGCCGTGGCTCTCCAGAGCCCCCTCTTCACCAGCAGCCTCTCCCAGAGCTCGTCTCAGGAGGATCTGGATGAGGGACCCCTGGAGCAGCCTGGCACCAGCTCCCCAAAGAGAGCGGCCGCGTGCTCCAAGGAGCAGCAGAGAGCCCGGTTGGACCAGTACGTGGCCAAATTGGTGCTGCGTTACAAGTGCCGCTCCGCAGCCAGCAGGCCGGAGTCCGGATACCTGGCGGGGAATCAGAAGAGCTTGTCAATGTCCTCCGTCTGCAGTTCTGTCCTGGGTGCCAGCCAGCTCCTGGCACCGGCGCCCGGGTGGAAGATCCGGCGGCGCATCTCTACCTGCTCGCATCTGCGTTCTCCAGAAGGTTCCGAAGGGGCACGGGATTCACGGGTTTTGGACAGCCAAGGGGATTTTACTCCGTTTCTGGAGATCGCCTCAGTCCAGTCCAGCACCACCAACCTTGTGAAGGCTACCGAGCCGTCGGTGGTGTCCCTGCCTGATCCTCTCCCATCGTATCCGGAACCTTCCGTCATCCCCTACCCAACTAAGCAACATGGCGGATCGGAGAGAGAGGTCCTGGGCTGGGTCAACGTGGCCCGTTGTCATATTGTCCAGGCCGAGGCTCCCTTCAGAAAGGAGGCCTCGTTGCCGCAGGCCGCTATAAACTTTGACAGGCTGTACAAAGGCAAACATGCCTCGCGGGAGTTGGTGAAAGCAGCCGAGAGGCAGGAGAAGCCGGCTGAGAGGAGCTGGCTGAGCCCCCGGGAACTGCTACGCAGGCTGAGCCTTCGCCGTAGGCCGTCTGCTCGCATGGGGAGCAGGGCCCGCGCCAGCTCGGAAATCAACGTCCATGCGGCCACAGGGCTGGGTTGCCACAGCGACCCACAAGCCAGCAGAGGCAAAGCGGTCAAGCCAAAATGGACATCGGTCTTGGAGATTTCCAGCAAAGCTCCCGGCCGGCAGCGGCTGAAAGCTGGCACCTTCCACCCGCCCCAAGTGCTGAACCGCCACCTTGCCTTTTCCTCTGACTCGCCAGCGTCGTTTTGCTTCCTGGGCAGCAGCCATCTTGACCTGCCGCCTCGGCAGCGGGCTGGACTTGCCGGCGGCAGCCTTGGAGAGGTGGACGCCACAAGCGCCGTCAGCCTGAACGGAGACTGGATCCTCCATCAGCTCGGGGACAGGTGGCCCCGCACTGCGGCCACGTTGGACTCTGCCGACTTGCCAGTCCGCAGCTTCAAGCTCCGGCGCAGCCGCTCCTTCAAGGAGCTCAAGAAAATGATGTCACGCTCCTTCAAGGGGTCCAGGACCACCAAGTGACTCCTCCTTCCCCCAAAAAAGGGCTGTAAGATGTGTTGGGTGGGTGAGTGGAGGAGGTAAAAAGTGAAGAAGCTTCTTAAGCATTTTTGAGGCTTCTTGATTGACCTTCCTAGACAAGCTTCCCCATCCCCTTGGACAACGAGTTTTTTTCCGCACTCTTATTGCTACGTACATCCTTGAATTTGGACATTAACTCTTTATGCCTCAGGATTTCTCACTGACCTAAACAAGAACCAAAGATGGACATGGAACTCCAGGTCTCCTTCGATAATGTTTTCCTAAGAATGGATTGAGGGGCCTTGAAGCCGCCTCACCTAACACCGGTGGCTGGGACTGATAGGGTGGCAGGTGGGGAGCCCCACAGTAGGTGGCGCCAGAGAGCCAGTGGCAGGCAGAACCAACACATTCTAGTTTTGTCCCCATGCCGCCTGCTGAGTTGTAAAAGGGGCAGCGCAGAGACTGAGGAAAATGGCAGGCAGTGCCACCCCCTGGACTGAATGTAACAAGGCAGGCGGGTAGGGGCTGGCTAGGGGCAGACTGAGGTTAGTGGGGCAGCATTGCCTCCGCCCTCATGTACCCGCTTCCACTGAAACCCTTGAGTTATGGTAGTCTCGCAGCCTAGCCAATATGAGGGTCAGAGATATGCTGAATCTTCTACCCCCAATGTCCTTTAAAAGTTTTGCCTTGCCTTGGGTTCCCACCCACCACAAATATGGTAGGGGAAGCACGCAGATCTCCATAAGTATTTTTATTATTATTTTAGGATCCAGGCCATGCCTTATATCCCTGGGCAATTACTGAGGTATTTGAGGAGGAGGAGGGTGCTTTTCATGGTTCCCCGTGGCTCAGACACATGATTCGTATTGTGGTTCGACCACCCTCTCTCCCTGTTGAACTCCCAGCGCTTGGTGACAACTTTTTCTGTTTCAGCACACAGTTTGCGAGGGGGTTCCTCAGCCCCGTGATTCTGTGGTTAATTTTAACTTGCTTTATGTTCTTATCTCTCTTGTACAACGCTTAGAAAAGGCAGCATGTAAATTATTTAAATAAATAAAATGTGCAGCCTGTCCTGAGGAACCCACAGCCTGCCCAACAAAGTCATTCCCTGACCACCATCTGCCACCGTCCTGGATTTTTCTTCTTGGCAGTTCGAAGCAGGTGGTGAAAACCAAAGAGGGGTTTGGCAGGGGTCCATTGTGTGTCCCTGGTGGGGAGGGAGCTGTGTTAACAGGTTGCAAATCGTGATTTTGAAGTGGTATTAATTTGCCTTTTCTTCAAGGTTTTATATTGCCTTCCTTTTCCAGTAAGGGTATAATGCAGAGTTGTGGCACTTTGGATGCCAATGGACTACAGTTCTCGTATCACTACCCAATGTGGTGTCATGGTTAGAGTGTCGGATTAAGACCTGGGAGAGCAGGATTTGAATCCCCACTCAACCGTTGAACTCACTGGGTGATCTTGGGCCAGTCACTGCCTCAGTCAGCCTAACCTACCTCACAGGGTTGTTGTGGGGATTCAATGAGGAGGGAGGAGTATCTTGTACTTGAGCTCCTTGGAGAAAAAATTGATATACAGTGGTACCTCGGGTTACAGACGCTTCAGGTTACAGATGCTTCAGGTTACAGACTCCGCTAACCCAGAAATAGTACCTCGGGTTAAGAACTTTGCTTCAGGATGAGAACAGAAATTGCGGTGCTAAAGTGGTGCTTCAGGTTAAGAACAGTTTCAGGTTAAGAATGAACCTCCGGAATAAATTAAGTTCTTAACCCGAGGTACCACTGTAATGAAATAAATAAGTAAGTAAGCCTTTGGTAGTCGGGCCCAGTGGTCAGGGGCCTGATGTTCAACAACATCAGGCAGGCCACAGGGGCCCCCCCCCATTCCTAGTGCAAGCTAACCCTTCACCCCCCAAGGCCTTCACCCCCCCAATTCTTCATTTTGGCCCCCAAAGGCTTCCAAACGTCTTCCTAGATATTTCTGGTACCGCTGCCACCTTTAAAGGGGGTGTGTGTGGCTGTGCTCCCGTCTGCCTCCCTACCCCCCCAACTTTAATTAAAATGGGTGAGTAGCCTTTGGCAGTCTGGATGTTTCTGAACTACAGCTCCCATCTGCCCTAGCAAGAATGGCCAACGAAGATGGGGATTCAGCAACATCTGGAGGGCCAAGTCTCCCCACAGCAGACTCAAAACGAGGTAGCTTTTTTAATGTCCTTTTGTTTTTATCCGTCTTGCTCTTTGAAACTGTGAACCTTATTTCCCCACTACATGTAAATGTTAAGATCAAGATAGAAAATAAAAACGAGCATTTTGAAATGAGGCGTCTTGCTTTGGTCTTGGGAATGTGGGATGAACGGAGTGTGTGGAGATTTAAGGATGTTTTCCTACTGAAGCATTATTACAAAGTCTTGCAGCAGCTGAGTATATATGCCAGTATGTTTTCTGTCCATATACCGTATTTTTCGCCCTATAGGGCGCACCGGCCAATAGGGCGGACCTAGTTTGGGGGGAGGGAGGGAAATAAAGGGGGGGGAATTACCCCCCCCCAGGCACAGGCTGCCATCAACCCAGCCCCCAGAACAGGCTGCTATCTGCAAGCCTGGGGAGCCCGGCGGGAACTCCCGCCGGGCTCCCCAGGCTTGCGGACAGCTGTCCAAAGCCTGGGGCACGCTGTGGAGCTCCCGCCGGGCTCCCAAGGCTTGCGGATAGCTTCCTGAAGCCTGGAGAGCTAGAAGGGTTGGTGCGCACCGACCCCTCTCGCTCTCCAGGCTTCAGCGAAAGCCTGCATTCATCCCATAGGACGCACACACATTTCCCCTTCATTTTTGGAGGGGGGAAAGTGCATCCTATAGGGCAGGGGTCTGCAACCCGCGGCTCCGGAGCCGCATGTGGCTCTTTTACACCTTTGCCGCGGCTCTAGGGCGCATACTAGCGAGGGGAGGAGGCGCGCTGTGCGCCCCGACATTCCCCACTGTGGCGGGCGCTGTACTGGCTGTGATGTCGCATGGGGGCGGTGTGTGCGTTAGTCACGCACCGCCCCGATGTCACCTTCCCGCCCGCCCGCTACATTGTAAGGGGCATGTGCGCTGGTCACTGTTTTGAAGGGGAGTGAAGAACACACACACACACACAAAGGTAACTTGTTAATTTAACATTTATTTCTATGAGGAGGAGTAATTCTGAGGGGTCAAACAAAGAAATAATAAAAAGTGACAAAAAAGTTATTTTTATAATGACGAGTTTTGCGGCTCCCAGGTTTTTTTCCCCTTCGGAAATGGGTCCAAGTGGCTCTTTTTGTCTTAAAGGTTGCAGACCCCTGCTATAGGGGGAAAAATACAGTATCTCTATAACTTTACTGACTGTGACTGTCATGAAGGAACCCTGTACACAGGATAAAAAGCTCCCCTTTCATCCTCAGGTGGTTGTAGGTTACTGGCGAGGGGTCTCTCCTGCCGAAATGATAGACTTTGACACTCTTCTGCACCATTGGAACATTGCCCCATTGATTTCCAGAGAATAATGTGCCCTTCAGACGGTGAAAGTCCCCCATCCCTGGTATTTATGATCATACCTCACTGCGTTTTCATATTTGCAATGCAACGCTTTGCAATGCACACTGGAGAGAGGTGTGTTCCCACCAAGCCCTGGGTTGTAAAATGGAGTGGGGGAAGGAGAGGAGGGATGCCAGATTATCCCTCCTATAATTAATCCCTCCCCGCTCAGTGCCTAGAAGCAGGTAGGATATAGCAAGCTGGTTTCTCCTGCCTTCCAGCCACACATTTTTGCCGCCTCGACGCCAGTGCTCCTGGTTATGCCTTGAAAAGGCTGAGCGAATTGCTGTTTACGGCGTGCCTCCTGGCACCGCGCAGCTAATAATAGTAATTAAGGAGGCTGCAAGAAGGTTGGGGGATGGGTTTCGGCAAGCCGGAGCTTGTTGTCTGGTCCTGCCGCAGCCTTCCAGCCCAGAACGTGCATTTTCCAGCAACAGAAAAACCTCATCAAATAGCTTGAGCGGCTCAAAGCATTTTGCATACATTGTCTCAGTAATCCTTAACCAACACCCTGAAAGTAATATTCCCCCCATAATGCAGATACGGAAGACCGAGGCTGAGAGTGAGTGACTCTTCTAGGGACACGTAGTGAGTCAGTGGCAGAGGTGAAATTTGAACTGGAGCCTTTCTGAAGTTTGGGTGTATATTTAAAGTGTTATTTCCCACCCTCAGAGAACCTTGGGAGCTGTAGTTTTTGATAAGGGGGCTGGGAGTTATAGAAAGCTGCAGTCCCCAGGGTTCTTTTGTTGGGGGGGTGGGGGATTACTTTAATAGTAAGGTTGAGTATGAAGCCTTAGCCACTATATTGCATCAGGAAAGCTTCACCAAGTAGAAACTTGCTTCCTATCAGGTGGATTATGAGGCAGAGAAGCAGTATAAGGTGAAAGTGCCTTTTCAGGTTGCACCATTAGGAAGGGAGAGGCAGCCCACATGGCCTTAAAGGACAGCAAATAATAAACTACAATGGTACCTTGGTTCTCATACGCTTTGGTTCTCACACTCCAAAAACCCAGAAGTAAGTGTTCTGGTTTTCGAACAATTTTTGGAAGCTGAACGTTCAATGTGGTTGTTGGCTATTGTTTCCAGGCTGCCTACACCAATCAAAAGCTGTGCCTTGGGTTTCGAACATTTCAGAAGTCGAACGGACTTCCGGAACTGATTAAGTTTGGCGCTTTTGTTTTTGCTATTTTGCATTTTTGTTTTTGAGGCTTTTTCGATTAATTTGTTTTTGTGACTCTGTGGAACCCAGTTCAGCTACTGATTTATTGATTGTGTGACTGCGGAAATGGATAAAAGTCCCCCATCCAAACAATGACTATCATCAGTGCAAGGAAGAAAAAGATTAAATTTTCATTTTTATCATCTACAATACTGTCTTATTTATTTTATAGTACAGTACATTGATAATTGCTTTTATTTTATGGCTCAATGGTCTCGTTAGATTGTAAAATTCATGTTAAACTGCTGTTTTAGGGGTTGTTTTTTAAAAGTCTGCAAGGGATTAATTCGTTTCGTGTTACTTTCTATGGGAAAGCATGTCTTGGTTTTGGAACGGACTTCCGGAACGGATTAAGTTTGAGAACCAAGGTACCACTGTACTTAGTTCAGGCACATGGCTTCTTGTTTGGTCTCTTGCCTTTTATAACTAACCCTTTTACCCCCACCCAACACTACCAGATCCACAGTTGTGGCTGGATAGAGGCAGAGGCAGACAAAACAGGGTGGCTGAGGGGCAGAATGGATTACTCCCTGCTGTATAAGCCATAAGCCATACACCTCGTGACCCCCAAACACAGAAAAGTCTACATCTGAGTGACTGAATTATTGCATATTTTCCTTCCACCTCAGGGTGTACAGTGTACACGGTTCTTCTCTCGCTCATTTAGTCCCTGCACAACAACCCTGTGAGGTAGGTGAGGCTAAGAGACAGTGACTGGCCCAAGGCCGCCCCATGAGCTTCCTAGCCAAGTGGGGTCTTGAACCCTCTTCTGGTCTCAGTCCGACAGTAACCACTACACCACACTGCCTTTTGACTACCCACTGACTAGTTTGGTGGTTCTAACAAGCCCAGTTTAGAAAACAAATACACTTTTTGCTGTGTGCACACTACATTTAAATTGTACACACCCACAGCATCCTGGGAACTATTGTATGAAGACTGTTGGGAATTGTAGTTCTGTGAGGGAACTACAGTTCCCAGATTTTGGGGGGTGGGGTGGGGAGATGTATGGTGTGTACACAGCCGTAGTTAAACGGTTAGGAAGCAGAAACCTCTGACCAATAATCTATTAATCTCCCAGGAGATCCTGCTCAATCTTCTGCCTGCCTTCGATTTAGTTCATTGTTATATTTTTGTCACGTACTGTATATGAGGAGACAGAAGGCATTTGATTCTGCCCCCCTGGCCTAAAATGTCATACCCAGGCCTCCTTAAGACAGCTATTTTAATCAATGGAATTTGTTAATAAGAAGCCCGTATCTGCTTAGGAATGTCTTCAGAAATTATTCAGGGGCTTAAGCAGTGTTTTAATCCCCCAGGAAAAGGGATTGATTGTTAAACCACTGTGAGAATTATAGCTCTGTAAAAGGAGCAGGGGTCTTCTAACAATTCTCAGTACCCTTAACAAACTACACCTTCCAGGTTTCATTGTGGGGTATGTGGGTGTCAGGGTTGCCATATTTCAAAAAAGTGAAAATCCGGACACAAAAGTTGTTGAGCTTTTATTGGCAAAGTTGTTGAGCTTTTCTCACTGTTCTCCCCAGTTGCCTTAATAAAAATTTATTTTAATAAAAATATAATCGTGGAGATCTGTGCATAACAGTTTATCTGCTGCATCTTGGCA